GGTGTGAATTTATGAGATGGCTTTTGTTAAATGCAGATTTTAATTTTTGAAATGTTTTCCAATGTAGTGGTTTTAAGGTGGTTTTTAAGAATTCATTGTATTGTTTCCTGTTGTTTGTAGTTGGTGTATGATAAGGGATGTGGTGTGACTTCTTAAACACTATGGTTTTAGTGTTCCTAAGTTCTGATTTCTTTCTGGTTCGATAGTTTTTTTTATTTTTTAGGACAAGGGCATTTATATGGTGGGTTTTTATAGGCAATACGTTTTTTAATTTAGGTAGTGATATTTTTTAGTATTTTAATAGTTTAGGTTTTTTATTTTCATGGTTTTAATTATTTTTTTAAATTTTTTCAAATAACTTGTCTAGATAATAGGTTATTATTTGTGCATTAGCATAAAGGTAGAGCTTTGGGGACTTTTTTTAGTAATGTTTAGGGTCAGTTGTACAGTTTTGAGTCTCGTGAGTTGGTTTGATTTAGTTTTTACTGGGTGTTTGTTTTTATTGGCAGTTGTGTCATTTTCAAGGTGTATTTGAGTTTTTTGGGGTTTTTGAGATATTGGTTTAGGAGGAAGTTTATGATGAGAATGTGCGGAGGTTTTGGGCTACTTTATAGTGGGATCTAAAATTTATTGACAGTTAGGTTTATTTGAGTTTTTATTAGGGTTCAATGACGTTGTGGGACGTTTGTTCCGTTAGTAATAGCAATGGGTTTTGTTTTGATGCGCTGCGATGGGACGAGCATGTGCTGCGTGCCGGTGCTGACAAAGGTACGGTATTGTTGTGGTTCTGGTGCGTGGGGTTAATGAACATGTATGGTTTAATATAGAAATGAAAATAGAAATAAATATACATTTAAAAATAAATATAACATTAGAGTGGTAGACATGAATATAGATAACAGATACATACATAAAACTGTAATACATGGTATATAATTGTAACATCATATAGATAAATGATAGTCTATTATATATATATATATACACAAAGATATATAAATATAGATAGTTAATATGAAAATATTTAAATGGAGTTAAAATAAATGGGGGGGTTTTATTAGGTTATAGGCTGGGGTTTTTAAATAAATGATAGAAATAAAATATCAATTCAGATATACAAATATATATACAAATACAAATCTCTATAAATATTTAATTTAAATAAATATAAGGAAAAGAAATCTATAATACAGAAAATACAGATCTCTTATTATATTAGAAGGTATTCTCTCTAATATATATAATATCTATGAATAAAATAAATTAAAATATCCATATGAATATCATTTTAATTTTGAAAAATAAATTTACTTCCTACATTTTTAAATCTGGTTCAAATAAAGGGGTGTCCTTGCTTTTCATTTGGTTAGAGGCAGGAGTTTTATTTGAAATAATATAAGTAATATCGAAATGTGGATCTTAAGATAGAGATATTTAATAAATATATAAGGAGAAATTGCTAAAATATGAATATAAATTTATATATAAATATATGTAAGTAATATGAAGAGTTGCAGTGTAGAATGTAAATAACATTATACGGCAATATAAATTATAAATGGGAATATAAATATAAAAATATGTAAATATAGCTTAAAAGAAAGGGAATGTTTTGGCTTTTATTTAAGTAGAGGCAGGGGTTTTATTTTGAATATTATAAGTGTTCCAGAAGTAAAAACCTTGAGGCAGAAATATTTAATCAATATAAAAAATATGAATAAAAATATATAAAAATTCATAAATAACTACTCGCATCAGATGTAATATAGAATATAAATTTGTTTATAACTTGTCATTGGTAAAGATAAATGTATAAGTAAGCAATAGACATTAATATACATTATAAATACAAATATGAATATAAAAATTGAATATAAGGATAAGGTCTATTTAAATATTGTTTAAAAAAAGGGTTGGGGTTTTATTTATTCTTATTGTGTTTAGAGACAGGGTTTTTATTTTAAATAATATGAATGTAGATATTATTGTCATATATTTCTAAATATTGGGATATACAATCAAGATCTAAATATATATATAAACACAAAATCTAAAGAAATACAAATAATAGGAAGAGATGTAATGAAGAATACAAATAACAGTATACATAAGTGTACATTTTAAATGTAAATGTGAATATGAACCTGAAAACTAGAATTTTAAAAAATATTTAAATACAGTTGAGAAGAAAGGGGTTCTTTTTGGCTTTAACGTGGATGGAGGCAAAGGTTTTATTTTAAATAATGCAAGTGTTACAGAAGTAAAAATCGTAACAGAAATATATACTTACCATGTAAAAATATGTATAAAAATACACAAATAAATTTAAGTTTTAGGGATATATGCAATATGGAATAGAAATGTATTTATAAAAAGAAACGTATAAATGGATAGTGTACATCAATGTACATTGTAAATAGAAATGTGAATATTAATATGAAAAAACTTTTTAAAAAATATTTAAATATTTTTTAAAAGAAATTGTTGGTTTGTTGTGTTGTGTTGTGTTTTATTTGTCTTTTATCCTATTAGATTAGAGGCAGAAGTTTATTTTTCCTCTTCGCGGTTGTTTTGGGGCATTTATTTCAGAGCAGTTTTCGGCGGGGGCCGCCCCTGTTCTTTTTCGCCGCCTTCCCTGCCCGCAGCCCCGAGGCGCGCTGCGCCCCCGGCTGGGGCGTGCGGCAGTGCTGCCGCCTTGTGGGCAGAGCGCGGTACTGCAGCCCTGCACCGAGAGGCCGCCACCTTGGGAGTGGCGCGTCGCGGGTGTCGCGGACTTTTAATTGACCTTCTCATCATGGCGGCGAAAAGGGCGGGGAAGTGGAGGACCGGGGTGGGTGTAAGTGGACTGCCTGCACGAAATACCGACGTCATGACGGCCCCGACGGATTTTTCTGTGGCGTTTCATGTGTACCCGACACAAGGTGTGGGCTCAGCGGCGCTGCGGGCGGGCGTATTTTGGCGGGTTTGTGCCAGGCATCTGGGTTAAACGCCTCGCTGTGCCGGGGTCCTCTGACGGCCGCTTTCGCGCCCTGAGGGAGCCGAGCCGGGCCGAATTGTTCCGAAGAGCCGAAGAGCCGAGGGTGGCCGAAAACAGCCGAGTTTGCCCGAAGAGCCGAGGGAAGCCGGAAACAGCCGAGTTTACCCGAAGGGCCGAGGGAAGCCGGAAACAGCCGACTTGAACCGAAGAGCCCAGGGCGGCCCAAAATAGCCCAGTTTACACCAAGAGACCATGATAGCCGACTGGAACCGATAGCCGAGTGTGGGCGACACTGGCCGCATTTAGACAATGTGCCCAATATGACCGAGTTTAGCCGAACCGTGCCGAGTTGGGCCGAAGAGCCGAACTGAAACGAGTTTAGACCAAGAGCCGAACCAAGCCGAATTCAGCCGAGTTTCGTTAAACAGAACCGAACGACGCCGCAGCGCTCTGCCTGCAGTGCGCCTGTGCAGGCGGCAGGGATCGCTGTGCCTGCAGTGCTCCGAGGCAGACGGCAGGAGGCGCTCTGCCTGCAGTGCGCCTGTGCAGACGGCAGGGATCGCTGTGCCTGCAGTGCGCCGGGGCAGACGGCAGGGGGCGCTGTATAAAGTAAGTAGAAAATATCAACTCTCTATAAGAAGGAATAAAAGCTCTATGTCACGTGCAGCAGTAGAAAATTTCAGGCTCCCAGGGAATAAATAGTTTTCTTTAAATCCTTTTCATTTTGGAGTTTTTTTTTTTACTCCCAGGTAGCCTGAAAGTTTCTACTGCTGCTTTTTTATTCTAAAGCTAGAAAGGTAAACCAAGATCAGAAATACAAGAAAGGGAAAGGCAAAGGCAAAGGAAAGGAAAGGAAGCGGGAGAGCAAGAGGGAAGGGAAGGGGTGAAAAACAGAGTGAAAAAAGAAAAAAGGGTTGGAGGGAAAAAGAGAGGGCATTCGGGAGGAGCGGTGGTGCCTCAGGTCCTCCCCCGCCCAGGGGTGAAGGTCCCGTTTGATGCCCGGGAGGTTCTGCAGCTCCCGGCGGCGGGGGACGGAGCCGTGGCTGTCAGCCCGAGACTACAACTCCCGGCAGGCCTTGCTGCCGGCGCGGCGCGTGACGCAACGGCTGACGCGGCACATGAGTGGCTGGCGTGCCAGGGGGCCGGGCGGGGCTGTGCGCGGGCAGCTCCCGGCGCCTCTCCCACGCGTGATGGCGACGCTGGACAGGCGAAGCCTCCGTCCGGCCGCCCGCACGGCGCCGAGCAGCGCGGAAGGAGCGTCCGCGGGGTTCCTCGGCCTCACTCGGCGGTTCCGGGGGCGGGGGGCGGGGCGGTGCTTTGCTGCCGCGGGCCGGGAGCTGCAGGAGCCGCCCCGGGCGAGCGGCGCCGGGCGCTCCCGTGATCCCGGTGGGGCGGCTACCCTCGGGCTGGCGGAGGCGCAGCAGCCCCCGAGCTGCAGCCGTCTCCCTCGGGCTGCTGCCGGTGCTGCGGGCGGAGGCGGCTCCGCCGCGTGTTGGGCGTTGCGACCAGAGAGCGCTGCGATATCGCGTTAGTGCTCGTGGCTCTTTGTTCCATGAAAACGGATGGAGCGGCGCTGACCGGTAAACCCAGAGATGGCCAGGAGAATGCCCAGCGCAAGGAGCAGGCTGGCTGTATGCTTCGGATGGCACAGGTGCGGTGTGCAAACGCACCCCTTTCCGCCCCTGCCCTCCCGAGCCCCAGGGAAAATGTTTTCCAGCATTTTCGAGCTTCTGAAAGACAAAACTTGTGATTTGACACTAGCATCCAGAAAAGGTTTCTGTCTAGATTAGCAAATGCCTAAATTGTTCTTGGTTACATCCCATGACCGGATTTAGGCAGTGAATTTATACTGCTTTTAGGATTTTCTTGTACAATGGTGAGAAAATAGGCAGGTCTGATATTGGTTTCACTTTTTTACTACTTCACGTTCCGTAAGATTCTTTTATCCAAGCACTTGTTTAAAAAATCTACTGTAGGCGTTTATGGTTCACGTTTTTTTTCTTTGCAGCACCCGTGACTTCTATCAAAACTCAATCTGTGAAATTTCTGGGGAAAACCCTTTTGTGTCCTGAAGGGTTCAAACTCTGTTGAGGATCCAGTTATCAGTTGCTCACCTGGATGGTTCCAGATCCCAAAGGTAACACTTTTACTCTTGCCCTGTAGTTTATATCTATTGCATTTTTGTTATTTTGCAAGATTTTTTGTCTTTGCAAAATATTGTTCTTTTCACTCTTTGGAGCCTCTCCCATCGTTCTTTGGTGTAGCAGCACCCCATAGGACACTTGGCTGCTGTCCTAAAGGGGATGGTCGCTAGAATTGTAAATTCTGGAGAGTTTGTAAGTCTTCTATCCCCAGTGAGGTACCGTGCTTTGTTTACTTTTGTTCTGTTGGTTAGGCGCTGCTTCTTGTTGGAAGTATGAATTTCAAACTACCCTGTTCTCTTTTTAACTGTTTTCCTGGTTCTCTCTGTACGGCAGGGAAAGACTCTCGTATCCTTGTCTTCAGGCTCGGTGCTGTCCAAGAAGATACAGAGACTAGAAAAATCATAAGAAGCAAAATATGACTGCAGGGAAAACAAGCTGGAGAGAACAAAAGGTGATATTGTTATCCTTACCCTGTATTAGAAACATCCACTGTGCTTTGATGCTGGCAGCTGCCAGGGGCTTGTTAGCTCTTCTTAGGCAGGTGTAGGTGTTCAGTTGCAGGTTTTTTCTCTGGACAAGTCAGTTCAAACTTTGCTAAGCTTATATTTGCAGATTACTCTCTAGCACAGTCCAGCATGACATTTTTGAATGCTGTAAAAAAAGCATGTTACTTGGAAATTGCTAATGATGAGAAGCTTTAGGGGAAAATAAGATTTCAGAGTTGGGAGACATGAGAAGAATTTTGTGGGGATGTTAGACTGAAATAAAGCACACTGTAGGCTGGACTGGCACGCTGGCAGGTCCCCTATTAAACAGTAGTGCTTAGATTAGCCTGGGGGTTGCCCGTTGTTTCTGTAGAAATCAGTGTTTCCTGGTCTTCAGAAGTAAGCTGCTTTGAAAAGCTGGAAGGTGCAGCATGGTGACAATCCGTGTGCTTTGGATTAAAAGTAGATTTCAGAAGGGTGCTAGGCTTTTGTCTTTTCCTAGAAGTCGATGTACTCCTATCGAGCAGTTTTTAATTCTGTGCTGCCGCGTCATCGGTCAGGGCCCTGTCGTACTAATCATCATACAGATACAAAACAAAAAATCGGACCCCGTCCCAACCACTTAGAGCCCAGAACACGATTTCCTCGGGCTGCCATTTGTGTGCCATCGGCACTCACCACGGAAGCGAGCTGGGGATTGTTGCAGCTGCTGGGAACAAACCGCTCCTCGTCACACAGGAACGGAACTGGGACGACGCCTCGGCCAGCCCCTCTCTGCCATCGTCTCCTGAATCTGCAGCAGAGCAGTTCCGGTCCATCCGGGCACGTGTAATCCAGTTCCTGATGATCTGAGCGCACGGAGCAGCGCTCCGCTGCTGTGGGGGGCTCAGGGAAGGCAGAGTGTGCATTGTCATCTTCCTGAACCTGCAGACGAATCCAAGTGAGAAGCCACAGGGTGGAAATCAGTCGCATATATGCTAAACGAAACTTGCAGGTTTTTTTTAAGAATTGTTTCTGCTTGTTCTTTTTTGTGCTTCAGCACTTAGAAAACCTCTCTTTAAAATCAGTTCAATTCATCAGTTGAGCCTTTTTTTGCAGACCCTCAGTGAGCAGAATTTGTTGCAGACTCAGTGCACGCTGTGCCGGCCTCAGGGAGAGTGAGGGGCTCACGTGTGCTACTTTTTGCTTTAGGACGCTCTGAGGTATTTATTCCTTTTGGGATACATGATGAGAATTGCCAAGAGAGGTAGTTACAAGGTATGACATGGGGAAAAAGCCTGTGTGGTTGGAACGTTGTTGCTGTCAAAAGTTAATTTTTCCTTCTTTCTTAGCCAGTAGTTAGCTTTTTGCTTAATTTTTGTGGTATCATTATTTTATTGTTTAAAAAATTCCTTCAAAATCACTTTGGTGGTTGGTGTTGGCCACCAGTACCTTGTTCAGATTTGCCTATTTGCTTGTAGCTAAAATGTTCGCATCCTGTTTATCATTCTATTTAAGAAACTGCTGCCCAGCCAACTAATAACTGAATATCCATCTGTCTGGGACACGGAGAGAGGATTTAGGTAATGTCTTTGTTTCCAGAAAAAAGTTCCAGTGTAGTTTCTAAAAAAAGGAGAAGGGGATGAAGACTCGGGGCTCTGATGCCGTATGGGCACCCCAAGGTCCCCAGGAGCGGGAGCCCCGCTGCAGTGCAGGAGCAGGTATGTTCTCATGTAATATTGAACAAATTATAAATATAAATATGACAATTTAAGCATGAAAATATTTTTTAAAATAGTTAAACCAAGTGGGTTTTTTCATTTGTCAATAGGCAGTGTTTTGATTGTAAAAATTATAACTACAAATAATATAAAGGGAGAAATCTAAGTATAGAAATAGAAATATATACAGATATATATAAAATTTAAACCTATAAGAAAAAATTAGTTTTAGCAGTAGATGTGATACCTAATATAAATAATAATTTAAATACTTTCCTAGAATTTTGTATCTATTATATATAATTATGAATATAATGCATCAAAAGAAACTATAAATATAAATGTGAATATAATTATACAAAAGTATAAAAATATTTCAATATCGTTCAAAAGAAGGCTTTTTTTGTGTTTATTTGGTTAGAGACAGGGGTTTTATTTGGAATCATAGAAGTAGAAATCTAAATATAGAAATATACAGTCAATAAAGAAAGGTATTTATAAGAACACGACTGAACGACGCCGCCTTCAGCCGAATGGAACGAGCTCAGCCGAACCAAGGCGAGACCGGCCGAACCTGACGGGCTCGAGGGAACCGAGGCCAGGCTTGCGAGGCTGCCTGAACGGAGCCGAGCTCGGCCGAACCGAGCCCGCCGCTCTCGTGCGCGCTAATTAGCGCGAGTGCTAATTAGCACAGCCCAATGAGCTCCTGTGCCACCCCGCGCTCCCGGTCGTGTCGGTACGAAGGCCGGGCCGCCCGCGTGACGCGGCAGCAGGAGAGCCCCGAGCCGGGCGAGTTTAACGTGAGGCGGCGCCGCTTGCCCGCCCTCGGGGAGGCGAGCCGAGCCGAGCTCAGCCGAACGCGCAGAGAGCGGCTCCGAGTTGGGCCGAAGCGAGCCGGAGGGACGAATGGAGCCGAATGCGGCCGTCAATAGCCGAGTTTGGCCGACAATAGCCGAGTTTAGCCGACAATAGCCGAGTTTAGCCGAAGAGCCGACTGGAGCCGAGTGACTCCGGAGCGAGCCCAGCTCCCCCGAGCGCAGCCTCCCGGGCAGGGCGAGGCGCCGGGCCGGGCTCGGGGTGCAGCCGGGGCTCTGTGAGGCTTCCCCGCCTGTCCCTCTCTCTCGCCCTCCTTCCTTCTCCCCGTATTCGCCTTCTCTCGCTCCCTTTCCCCCATTCCCTCTCCCCCCACAAGCCCGGCTCCTTCCTGTCCAGCCCCTTCCCCGCTACTCCCTTTCTCTTCCCCGTTTCTGCCTCCTCTGTCCACCCTCCCTCTACCCCCCTCCCGGGCTTTCCCTTCCCGTGCCGCTTTCCTGCACAGCCCGCCCTCCCTCGCCGCCCTTTGTCATGCCCTGCTCTCGCTCCTCTCTTCCGGTGCCCGCTTTCCTTCTTTGCCGCGCAGCCGCGGGGCTCGGGGTGCCGGAGAATGAAGGCCCGAGGGTATGGGGGTTCATCCGTGGTGCTGTTAACACAGTCAGAATGGCTCAGTGACTCTGTGCCAGGCTGGTGTGGCCTCAAAGGCTGCCCCTGCTGCTGGCAGAGTGTGTGAAGCGTCTGCTGAGCGGGCAGCGGCATCCCCCTGAACACCTTCTCGCAGCAGGGACGGAGATGGAGCCAGCCCAGCGCGTGGAAATGGATCTCTCCAGCTGAACGCTCAGGTGAAGCGAGCAGAGAACTTGCCCAGCATGAACCAGGTGAGCTGCACGTCTCCAGGGTAATGGTTCTTGCACCTTCAGAGCCACAGTGTCGCTGAGCTTTTTTTTTCCCCAGGCTTTCCATCACCTCTCAAACAGACGAATGCTCCCCTTGGAGGCTGCTGTGCCCTGGGGAGCCTGGCAGGTGGCCCCGTTGGTGAGAGGAGGGCAGCTGCAGGCAGGCAGCCCCCAGGAAAACACGGGAGTTTCAGTGGTTTCTGATGCCTGAGGAACGGGGAGATGGCGTGAGCTGAGCAGGAGTTAAGCACGGTCGTACAGAGGCCTGGCTGTTATGATTTAAGATGGCTTATTGAATATCTGTAGTTTCTATAGATATTTGTATATCTGTCCAAGTAGGATATAGAGCCTTGTGCAGGAGAAAAAGAACTCTTGATGTAAGATATGACCTGGGGGAGGCATCATGCCAGGCTATCCCTTCCAGATTTGGACGGCTTCAGTGTCTTGTGTGGCATGATGGGAAGTTCTGAAAATTAAGATTTCCTCTTTGGTGCGGGTCAGATGGGTGACGCCTGGCAGCTCGTGCACTGCCACTGTGCTAACCTGTGTGCCTCTCCTTCCCTCCCTGCTCCACAGGCAGCGCAACACGGGAGCAGCAGGGAGAGCTGGCTTTGTCCTGGAAGATGCAGGAGCTCGCGGTGGATATCTGAGCCTGCAGCTCCAGGCTGCCGCACGACGCAAGGGCTGCACACACCCAGAGCGTACAGGTACTGTCACAAACGTGGGCTGTCGTGGCTGAGCCCTCAGGAGCTGGCGGTGCCAGCTGGGAGAAGAACAGTAGCTTCCAGCCTTTTCTTTTGTCTGCGTTTCCCGTGTTCAGTCAGTCTGATTACTTCTGGGCATTGCCCAGCAGGGTGTGAAATGCTTCCAGGGCTAAAGGGGGAAAAAAAGGGAAACACAAACTATAATCCACACCTCAGGAGGGAGAAGGCATCTGTCAGGACAAACTCTTAAGAGAAATGGGATGAAGAATACTTGTTTATTCGGTCTTTGGTATGTGTAGCTAGTTCAAAGAGGTCTCCCAGTCCTTCCCATTAGCAGAGCAAAGGAAGAGCAGCAAAGCCCTCAGGCTAAGCCATTAAAAGCAGCAGCAGCAGCTTTGTGTGCTGGAGTGTGGCAGGCATTCCTAGGTTTACTTTTTGGTTTTGCATCTAGCAGTGGTAGAGGAAAGTTCTTTGCAAGGTGATAGTTCCAGCCTTGTATTGAAATGTGAGCAAAGAGGAACTTTCTCAGTTGGATTGGGGTTTATTCACAGCACTTGTAAACAGAGTTAACATTCAGATAACATGTGCAGGGAGTGTGTGCTGTGGGTTAGCACAAGTGACAAAGGAAGTGGGACAGGGACAGGGCACTTTCCCCTTCAAGGTACTGGTTTTTTTTCTGGAAGAATGACGTGAGAGCAGAAAAGTTGCAATGGCATTGCAGTTCCCTGCACAGAATATACCCAGGGAGGTGAAGCACAGCCCAGTGGTGCCAAATTCACCTGCGCCCCAATGGGGAGCATCAGTGAAGTGAGGAGGACTGAGGAGCTCTCCCCTTGAGCAATCACAACAGTCATGTCAACGAGTGTCACCCTTTTCCAGACCACTGGCATGTGCTTGGGGACAATAACCTGTGTTTTTTACAGCCAGGTCTTCTGAGCCGCTGCTCACTGCTCGCAGTGAAAAGAAACTTGTGTACAGGCACTCTGCAAAATTGCCACCTCAGATGCCACTGAAGCACAGCTTTGGCTTTCAGGCATCTCCCCTGCAAGCTGTCCCTTGCGGCGTTTCCGCACTGGGTTCATTGTAAATTCATTCCTCCCATTTTTTATTTGTAATTTCCAAAGAATATCAGTCGACTTTTACGGCCTCTTCAGGGCTCCCCAAGCTTCATACCACACCTAAATGCTCGTTTTCACTGCCTGAAGGGCTTCTCTCACCCGAGTGATTCTATGAATTTGGCCTGTACTTCAGCTTAAGGGGAAAGCTGTACATTGATTGCATTTTGGAGAAAAAGATTTGACTGTCCAGCTGTAAATTTATCTTGTGTTTTGCCTTCCAGGTTCGCTCGTATTGTAATTTGCAAATGGCACGGCAAATGCCACGAGAGCAGCTGGTGAAGGTGGCTCAGAAGCAATGACAAGAATGTGCTGCAAAGTTGGGTCCAGCAGTCCAGCTTTCCGACACGGTAGGGCAGGCACACCTTTTGATAAAGCATCAAACGCTGTAGTTTTTATTCTTGGTGTTTGTCTGTGCTCCCATTCTGATCACCCCTTGAAGTATTTTTCAAAATGATATCTAGGAGAGAAATCATGTTTATTCAGGGGGAGCCATAATTTTCATCTGTTCCAAATGCACCAGGTGTGTTTTAAGGCCTGCACACACAGCAAGAGCTGCAGAGCTTGTTGTGCAGTTTCCTGCAGCACTGATTCATTCTGTATTCCAGTAACCATGCCCTGGGCTGCCAGCCAGGCTCAATGCCAGGAGCGGGAGGAGCAGACCCGAGAGGTGCTTTGGGTGGAGCCCAGCCAGGTTTCAGGCAGCCCGCAGAGTCTGCCCTTGCAGTCCACGCCGGTCTGCTGTTGCCATCTGCTGGAAAAATCCCTAATGGATATTTCCAAAGGTGGGGAGGAGCATCCGCTCCTGTCACGGACCTGCTGGGGGCTCTTTGCCCTCTGGCTCCGTGCGCTCTGCCCAAGAACAGCGTGTGCAGCAGGCTGTCACCGCTCTCTGCAGGGTGAAGCACCTTCAGCCAAGGTCAGTGCAAGAGCAAAACAATCCTGCCAGTAAAGCCTGCTACTAGAGAGGCAAACAATGATCCTTCCAAAGGAATTCATCCTTCTTCTCCCTTACAACTCTCCTGTGTCATCACACGGCAGAATGGTTTGGGGTGGAAGAGATCTTGAAAACGACCTAGTTCCACCCCTGTCCTGGGCAGGCTCACCTTCCTCTGGGCCAGGGTGCTGTGCTGTCCCAGATCAGGTGGCAGATCTGTGGAAATTGTAATGATATTATTAAGGCGTGTCTCTTATTGCCTTGCCATTCGTGAATCCCGAGGCTGTCTTGTCCTAGTTTAGCTTTCTGATGTGGAGGAGCAGAACTGCCAACTGATATGGAATTTGGTGCTCTCTGTGGAGTGACATCCTGTAAAATTTCTGTCCCAGGAATGCTGTCACGATGGCTCTGCTCCATAGAGAATGACACGGCCTGATTGTCAGCAATTTTTGCTTCTGCAATAGTGTAAAAATGCTAAAATTTGAACACTGCTTATTATTTCAAAAGAGAATATTTTAAAACTGGAAGAGATAGCTGAAATTACACCTGAAAGGTAGCAAGAGCAAATACATAGAATATTTCTCCCTGTTTGTAGATATACTTTTCATTCAAAATTATGCTGATGGGGATATTCTTTTATGTATTTAGTGACTTTACAGATTTCTTCCCCGAGTTTTTTGAGTTCATAGAATCATGGAATAATTCAGGTTGGAAGGGGCTCTAAAGATCACCTCGTTCCAAGCCTGGTGCCGTGGGCAAGGACACGGTTCCATGGACCAGGTTGCTCTGAGCCTGATCCCAGAGCACCAATGGGCCTTGGAACACTTCCAGGGATGGGGCAGCCCCAGCATGTGTGAGCAACCTGTGCCAGGCAGGTGCCAGAGGAAGAAGAAAGCCCTTCCCAGCTGGAGCAGAGGCTGCTGCAGCTTGGCGCAGCCTCGTGTCACCGAGCGTGTGAGACAAAAGGGCCCTTCCCGTGGAGGGAGAACGGCACTGAAAGATCTTTTTTGGGAGGAGCGGAGCCATGGAATGCCAAAGCAGCCTTCAGTTCTTGCAGCAGAGTTGGGAACAACTGGAAGCAGGAGCAGAGCTGGCCTGGTGCCTGGCAGCTCTGCAGGCAGTGGGGATGGAGAAGGTGCAGTTGTCTGTCTTCTTGGCTGAGTCTTGAAAAATGAGGCACTTTTCTGTAGTTCCTTTTCAAGCATTACGTGGCAGTTGCCCCTAGAAGTCCAAAGGCAGCTGTTTTTTTAGCAGGAGGAAGTCAGGAAGAGGCAAAGCAGGCAAAGACATCAGATAAGTCTGGATAAAAATCTTGGCTAAGCTGTTTTTTCCCCCTCCTCCAAACAGGCAATTCTGAAGCGCTGAGCAGAGATCTGCCCCCGGGAGGCAGAGCAGAGCCGATCTGTGAGAGCTGACACGGGAGCTGTGGTGAGGACAGCTGCTCCCCTGCCTCGGTGTGGGACCTGCTGAGCTGCCGTTCCTGTGCTGGGAGTGTTTCTCCTCTCATGCAGGCAAGCCAGAGAGCTCCTAGGGAAGGAGCAGGTAAGGTTGAAGTGCCGAGATCTCCCCGGTAAGAAGTGCCGTGACAAAAGGAAATGGCCTCAAGTTGCAGCAGGGAAGGCTCAGATTGGCTTTGAGGACCAATTTGTTCACTGAAAGGGTGGTCAGGCATAGGAGCGGGCTGCCCAGGGCAGTCCTCAATGCTGGAGACATTTGAAGCATGGCAAGATGTGGTGTTTAGGGACCTGATTTGGGTGGGGGCTTGGCAGTGCTGGGGCAGCAGCTGGGCTCGATGGCCTTAGCAGGCTTTTGCAGCCTAAAGGATGCTATGGTTCTGGAAAGCCTCGACCCCTCTGGCTCCGACACCACACCTGGATGCTGACAGAAGGAGGCTGGTCATGGAGCCTGGAGGTGCCTGTGCCACAGGGAGGGAGAGGACAAGGCAGCGTCACCTGCAGGGAGGGTCTCGTCCCCAGAGAGCGGCCAGTGACTCCATCCGTGCCCGGGGCTCTGGGTGCACCCTCGGGGTGGACACCTGCCCTCAGGTTTCCCTCTGGGCACCCGGGGAGGGAACCGGGTCCATCCGTGTGGCAGCTCCAGGGCCTGCAGGCTCTGGGGCCCTGCAGCCGTGCGCCCTGTCACAGGGCGGCAGGGACGTGACGCTGCCCGGCCGCGCCACTGGCCTGGGATCCTTGCTGCTTTCCTCCCGATCCCACATGGCTGTAGCAGCAATCTTGTGTCTTTTCTTTATAAGTGTCCTTGGGAGAGTTCAAAGAGAGGGTAATTAGTTATGTCAAAGCCTACATATTTGACCTGTTGGCACTCAAGAGAAAAGACAAGAACCTGCTTGGCATCCTTGTGCCTGGAAGTCATTGTGACCCAGGGAAGTGAGGAAGGGGCTGGCCGAGGTCACTGAGGCTCTGAGATGGAGGTGAGTTTGCATTCCAGTTGATTGGAACGGAGGCTCATCAGAAGTTTCCTCGGCTATCCAAGGCACAGAGCCCTGGAGGCAAGTGAGCCTGAGCTGCTGCACGCTTGCTGTGAGCTTTGGGGTGAGGGTGCATCGTTGCAGGCCTGGGATGGATTGAAATGCGCTGAGGAAAGCAGCGGGAGGGAGGGAGGGAAATGCTCTGTTAGCTTGTGCCAATTCTTCTGTCAGACTCATCACGGCGGGACAGCGTGGAGACTGAAAGTGTGAGAAGATGTGGAGGGGAAGAGAGAATCTGACGGGAGCAGCGAACGCACGAGTGCACGAATTTTGCTTTTTGCTTGGATGTAAACTCAGGAGTTGAAAGGAATTTGGGAGTGAGAAGGGACATTTCAGAAGGTGAAGAAGAAAAAGAGGTTGTTGTTGTTGTTACAGTCCTGGCAAAATCTTTTGTTCTAGCTAATAAAAGAAGTTAGTTTAAGAAATAAAAAGAAAAAAATGTAGTGTTTTTTTTTTTACTTGACTATTATATTCATTGGTGGTATATGGTGTGTTGTTTTATTTCTTGGTATTATTAACTCTGTGTAAATTGTTTTTTGAGTGAAGCTGACTTTCTGGATGGGTTGGTTTGTATTTGAGGCAGCATTAATTTCAATAGGATTGTTTCATAGATTTCTGATGGGTATTACTGGGATTTTGGTTTTGTTTGCTGTATGTATAAACATAGAGCTTTGGTAGGGCCAGCTGGGCTGCTGGAGTTTTGGGTGTGAATTTATGAGATGGCTTTTGTTAAATGCAGATTTTAATTTTTGAAATGTTTTCCAATGTAGTGGTTTTAAGGTGGTTTTTAAGAATTCATTGTATTGTTTCCTGTTGTTTGTAGTTGGTGTATGATAAGGGATGTGGTGTGACTTCTTGAACGCTATGGTTTTAGTGTTCCTAAGTTCTGATTTCTTTCTGGTTCGATAGTTGTTTTTTTTTTTTATTTTTTGGGAGAGGGGCATTTATATGGTGGGTTTTTATAGGCAATACGTTTTTTAATTTAGGTAGTGATATTTTTTAGTATTTTAATAGTTTAGGTTTTTGATTTTCATGGTTTTAATTATTTTTTTTAATTTTTTCAAATAACTTTTCTAGATGATAGGTTATTATTTGTGCATTAGCATAAAGGTAGAGCTTTGGGGACTTTTTTTAGTAATGTTTAGGGTCAGTTGTACAGTTTTGAGTCTAGTGAGTTGGTTTGATTTAATTTTTACTGGGTGTTTGTTTTTATTAGCAGTTGTGTCATTTTCAAGGTGTATTTGAGTTTTTTGGGGTTTTTGAGATACTGGTTTAGGAGGAAGTTTATGATGAGAATGTGCGGAGGTTTTGGGCTACTTTATAGTGGGGTTTAATATTTATTGACAGTTAGGTTTATTTGAGTTTTTATTAGGGTTCAATGACGTTGTGGGACGTTTGTTCCGTTAGTAATAGCAATGGGTTTTGTTTTGATGTGCTGCGATGGGACGAGCGTGTGCTGCGTGCCGGTGCTGACAAAGGTACGGTATTGTTGTGGTTCTGGTGCGTGAGGTTAATGAACTTGTATGGTTTAATATAGAGATGAAAATAGAAATAAATATACATTTAAAAATAAATATAACATTAGAGTGGTAGACATAAATATAGATAACAGATACATACATAAAACTATAATGCGTGGTATATAATTGTAATATATTATCATATAGATTAATGATAGTCTGTTATATATATATATACACAAAGATATATAAATATAGATTATAAATATAAAAACATTTAAATAGAGTTAAAATAAATGGAGGGGTGTTATTAGGTTGTCGGCTGGGGTTTTTAAATAAATGATAGAAATAAAATATCAATTCAGATATACAAATATATTTATTTGAATTAAATATTTATAGAGATTTGTATTTGTATCTATAAGTAAAAAAAATATAATACAGAAAATACATATCTATTATATTAGAAGGTATTCTCTCTAATATATATAATATCTATGAATATAATAAATAAAAATATCTATATAAATATCATTATAATTTTGAAAAATAAATTTACCTGCTACATTTTAAATCTGGTTCACATAAAGGGGTGTCCTTGGTTTTTATTTGGTTAGAGGCAGGAGTTTTATTTGAAATAATGTAAGTAATATAGAAATGTGGATCTTAAGATAGAAATATATAATAAATATATAAAGAGAAATTGCTAAAGTATTAATACAAATTTATATATAAATATATGGAAGTAATATGAAGAGTTGTAGTATAGAATATAAATAATATTATATGGCAATATAAATTATAAATGGGAATATAAATATAAAAATATGTAAATATAGCTTAAAAAAAAGGGAATGTTTTGGCTTTTATTTAAGTAGAGGCAGGGGGTTTTTTTTGAATATTGTAAGTGTTACAGAAGTAAAAATCTTGACGCAGAAATATATAATCAATGTATAAAAATATGTATAAAAATTCATAAATAACTACTCGCATCAGATGTAATATAGAATATAAATTTGTTTATAACTTGACATTGATAAAGATAAATGTATAAGTAAGCAATAGACATTAATATACATGATAAATACAAATATGAATATAAAAATCAGACATAAGGATAAAACCTATTTAAATATTGTTTAAAAGAAAGGGTTGGGGTCTTTTTTATTATTGGGTTTGAGGCAGGGTTTTTATTTTAAATAATATGAATGTAGATATTATTGTTATATATTTCTAAATATTGAGATATACAATCAAGATCTAAATATATATATAAACACAAAATATTAGCAAATAGAAATAATAGGAAGAGATGTAATGGAGAATACAAATAAGAGTATACGTTAGTATACATTTTAAATGTAAATGTGAATATGAACCTGAAAAATAGAGTTTTAAAAAATATTTAAATACAGTTGAGAAGACTGGGGTTCTTTTTGGCTTTAATGTGGGTAGAGGCAGGGGTTTTATTTTAAATAATGTAAGTGTTGCAGATGTAAAAATCCTAACACAGAAAGATATAATAAATATATAAAGATATGAATAAAAGTATATAAAAAATATAAGTAATAGGAACACATGTAACATAGAATATAAATTATAACTAAATCGCTAAATAGAAATGCAAAATCGATCATACATCAGTAAACATTTTAAATACAAATTTGAAAAATATTTTTTTTAAGATTTTAAATACAGTTGAAATGAAAGGGGGTTTTATTTGCCATGTATGGGGTAGAGGCAGGGGTTTTGAGTACTGTAAGTGTTACAGAAGTAAAAATCCGAACAGAAATATATACTTACTATGTAAAAATATGTATAAAAATATACAAATAAATTTAAGTTTTAGGGATATATGCAATATGGAATAGAAATGTATTCATAAAAACAAATGTATAAATGGACAGTATACATCAATATACATTATTGATAGAAATGTGAATATTAAAAGGAAAAAAACCTTTTTTTAAATTTCTAATTTTCTTTTTTTTAAGAAATTGTTGTGGTTTTGTTTTGTTTTTTTTTATCCTATTAGATTAGAGGCAGAAGTTTATTTTTCCTCTTCGCGGTTGTTTTGGGGCATTTATTTCAGAGCAGTTTTCGGCGGGGGCCGCCCCTGTTCTTTTTCGCCGCCTTCCCTGCCCGCAGTCCCGAGGCGCGCTGCGCCCCCGGCTGGGGCGTGCGGCAGTGCTGCCGCCTTGTGGGCAGAGCGCGGTACTGCAGCCCTGCACCGAGAAGCCGCCACCTTGGGAGTGGCGCATCGCGGATGTCGCGGACTTTTAATTGACCTTCTCATCATGGCGGCGAAAAGGGCGGGGAAGTGGAGGACCGGGGTTGGTCTAAGTGGACTGCCTGCATGGAATACCGACGCCGGCGCGGCCCCGGTGGTATTTTTTGTGGCATTTCAAGTGTACCCGATACGGGCCGCGGGCTCAGCGGCGCCGCGGGCGGGCGTATTTTGGCGGGTTTGTGCCAGGCATGTGGGTTAAACGCCTCGCTGTGCCGGGGTCCTCTGACGGCCGCTTTCGCGCCCTGAGGGAGCCGAGCCGGGCCGAATTGTTCCGAAGAGCCGAGTGTGGCCGAAAAGACCCGAGTTTACCCGAAGAGCCGAGGGTGGCCGAAAAGAGCCGAGTTTACCCGAAGAGCCGAGGGTGGCCGGAAACAGCCGAGTTTACCCGAAGAGCCCAGTGCGGCCGAAAATAGACGAGTGTGGCCGAAAACAGCCGAGTTTACACCAAGAGCCGATGATAGCCGACTGGAACCGATAGCCGAATGTGGGCGACACTGGCCGCATTTAGACAATGTGCTGAATATGACCGAATTTAGCCGAACCGTGCCGAGTTCGGCCGAAGAGCCGAACTGAAACGAGTTTAGACCAAGAGCCGAACCAAGCCGAATTCAGCCGAGTTTCATTAAACAGAACCGAACAACGCCGCAGGGCTCTGCCTGCAGTGCGCCTGTGCAGACGGCAGGGATCGCTGTGCCTGCAGTGCTCCGGGGCAGACGGCAGGGGGCGCTGTATAAAGTAAGTATATAATATCAACTATCTATAAGAAGGAATAAAAGCTCTATGTCACATGCAGCAGTATAGAAAATTTCAGGCTCCCAGGGAATAAATAGTTTTCTTTAAATCATTTTCGTTTTGGAGGTTTTTTTACTCCCAGGTAGCCTGAAAGCTACTACTGGTGCTTTTTTTATTCCAAAGCTAGAAAGGAAAACCAAGATTAGATATACAGGGAAAGAAAGAAAGAAAAGAAAAAAAAGAAAATAAGGAAAGGAACTGAAAGGAAGAAAGAAAGGACAGAGGGGCCAGCTGTCTGTCATCTGAAATTCTGCATTGCACAGGATGCCTCCCAGACCCCAGCTGCCAGCACTGCAAAGTCAGGCTGCTTTGAAGGTTGAAAATGTCCCCAGCAACGTGCCATCAGGAACCTGAGCTGGTGAGTTACACTTACCTGGGGCAATGGGGGGCATTTGCGTCCAGTGCCCGGGGGCCCTTAGTGGCCGGCTGGCTCCTCATATTCTGCATTGCACAGGATGCCTCCCGGAACCCAGCTGCCACCACCGCAGTGTCTGGCTGGTTTGAGGGTGCCAAGTGGCCCCAGAAATGTTCCATCAAGAACCTGAGCTGGTGAGTTACACTTCCCTGTGTAAAGGGCGGCATTGGTATCCAGGGTCCTGGGGCCCTTAGTGAACGCCTGGCTCATGAAACTCTTCACTGTGCAGGATGACTCCCAGCCCCAAGCTGCTTCCTGTGCTGAGCTGAGCTTGTTTGAGAGTCCCAAGCACCTCAAGCAATATGCCACCAGGAACCTGGGCTGCTGAGTTTTGCTTAACTGGAGAAAGGGTCAGCCTTAGTTTTCAGGAGCCTCTGGCCAAGAGGGGCTGGCCGTCTGCCTCCTGAAATTCTGCATTGTGCAGGATACCTCTGAGACCCAAGCTGCCACCTCTGTAAAGTCAGGCAGGTTTGAGAGTCCCAAGTGACTCCAGCCACCTGCCATCAGGAACCTGAGCTGGTGGGTTACGCTTACCTGTGTAAAGGGCAGCATTTCTGTTGAGAGCCCAGGGGCCCTTAGTGGCCGGCTGCCTCCTCAAATTGTGCATTGCGCAGGATGCCTCCCGGACCCAAGCTGTCACCGCCGCAGAGTCAGGCTGCTTTGAGGGTTCAAAATGTCCCCAG